CCCCCCCCCCCCCCCCGGATATCGTTCCTGTTCTCCTCGAGAACCCACAGCGAGGAATGACTGACTGTTTTCCTTCGCCGACGACCTCCGTCACGGGGGCAACGCCAGCTCCGAGAGTGACGGGGGTCCGTAAACACCCCATTTCGTACCGACCCGTTGAAACTCAGTTGGTGATTATGCACGTTCGAAGCCGTGTTGCAGATGATATAGCAATATCGAGGGGAGGTGTCGGTATTCTTGACAGCCCCAGCGATGTTCACCTTGTAACGGTCTGTTTGGAACGCACGTTTTCCCTCTGGTGCAACAACCGTGATGACACACCGCGTTCTGCTTCACACGGAAAAAAAGCAACACAAGGCCTCCTGCCGAGAGCTGACGGTCACCGCCTGCTCAGAAAAAGATCAAATATATAAATATACCACCGATGGGTTATATATCACGTAGCTAGACGCTGCATCTTGAGAGTCCTGGATGCCCAGGACTGCTCCACCTTCGCTTGCTGGTCCTTCCGACAATCAATTATATGGCGCGGTCGAAGGGAGACTCGTAGAACGTCCTCTACGCCGAGTAGGTGTACTTCTCCGTGTTGTTGGGCGAGTACCAGGAGTAATTCTTATCACAGCGTGGTTGGCGACTTTTTCTTCTTCTACCGGGTCATAGTTTTGAGGATTTGGGTCTTGCCCGTTGGACTGGTACGCCTGAAACGGTAGCGGTATGGGCAATAGAAAGCTGTGATTCTGGTACAACAATAACCGCGACAACAACAACAACAACAACAACAACATCGAAACTCGAAGCTTGCCTGCTGACAATGGACTGTTCGACGCGGGTTCTCCATTGCTTGTCGCAGGCGTCGTCGAGGTCTTGCGCCTGGATTTCAAACTCTTCGGCCTCCTCAACTCTTCCCGTCGCGCGCAGCCGCTCCGCATTCTGCAGGGTTTAGCGATTCGTTGTAAATATTTCGGTGTCGTGGGAGAGGCCCGGGATCTCGACCTTGAAATGTTTCCCAGCGGGGTGTCTTTGTTCCGTGGTTCACCCCGTGGCACGCAATCGATCGAAGGCATCTCTGCTCGGGACGACGCTGAGGATGTTACGTCACTGGCAAGCTCGCCCCCAACAACACGAAGAACGACGTGACCAACCCCAACTTCGCCTCATACCCTCGCCGTCGCTCTCCGTCCTGCCCCATGGTCGAATCATCATCAAATCCCGGTGGCGAACAAACGCGATTACTACACCTCTCCCTAGCCTCTCCTTCTTCTCCCATATGTATCCCCTGCTTAAACCCGCGCACCTGCCGCAGCCGGATGACCTCTCGTGTGGGTTTCCTGGTGTTGTAGGAGGCGGTTTTGTTGTGCCGGCACAGGTACGTCTTCTCGCACTATGATTGGACGCCACGGTGGTGCCGATCCCGGCCAGAGCAGTGTGCACGGCGCGCAAGCATTTGTTACTAACAATGAAAGAGGGGGGTGAGTCCGACTGGCCCTCCTGCTGAGGAGGTGTGCGACCTGTTTTGCTAAATGCGCTTGTCTCTCACGCTATGAGCCGGCGATGTGAGAGTGCTCCTAGTGCCAAGTATTCGAATGTGAGGGAAAACACGGCATTTGACGTGAGGATCGCATTTTTCATGTCTCCCAAGGCAAAAATTGACGGAGCCAACGAACGGGCGCCTACCTCGGAAAATCCATTCGTGAATTGGTTGTTGTGGTGATAGTGCTGGAAGAATACCTACACCGCTCGAACAGGTGCAAGATATTGGCCTAACAGTTGAGTGGAAAACTCAGGAAGTCGACATCAACCCCAACAACGGCGACAATAATATATTGCACTGCTAGGAGGACAGCGACCGCAACAGCGACAACGACAACCGCGAGTTCGTCGGTTTCCGAAGGCCGATCGGGAATCAAGAAATCATTCGCAGACACTGGTTGCCGGTACCTGACAGGAGCTTACACCCCCGTACGCTCTCTGGGCCGTCTCCTCGATCAGCATGTCGTACTCGCGCTTGTGCTTGAGGCGCAGCTCCTCCTGAAGCCAGCAAGAATGGTCACCTCTTAGAGCACGGTATTTTATGTGAATGGGCGGGTTATGCGCTCCGTTGGAAAAGGAGACGTCATGCAACGTCTTGGCCATCCATGGCGACATTCAGAGCGACGAGAACAGGGGTAAGATGAAACAAATAAAATACCGCAGAATGAGCAGAAAGAAACAACGATGTTTGAACGAATCGGAGACGACGGGACATCGTTCACCTACCGCGCTCGTCCCCAGAGCACGTTTTCGAGTCCCTTGCGTGACATCGCCCGTGGGCACTCGCTTTCGTCCGGTATTCCTCGCCGGTAGTGCTTGATTGAGCCTCACGCCGCTCGTTTCCCTTCAATGCTAGCATCGTCACTCACCTTCTCCTTTTCACATTTCGCTCGGAATTGTGCCTCTCCTTCCCCCTGCTTGTTCTCCAGGCCAATAAACCTAAGGGTGCACAATTGCATACGTTCTCAAATCATTCCGCAGGAATCCCTCGTGTAGGCAACCCCGCGACGTCGTCGCTCACGTCGAGGTGGTGCACGAAGGTTCCCGCGGCGAACACTGGAACAGTGAACGTATTTGGTTTTGAGCTCAATCATACCAGCACAAATTTACCCACACTCGCATATGGCGAGGCGAACGATATCGGGAATAATCTGAAACAAGGCGTGGCTTTTTCGTTGTCAAAGACAAACTTCTGTGTAGCCAGGAGCATTTGTATACGGAGCGCTTCGTCCTTGTGTCCGCAAGACGTTGTTTTTCTATGCAACCCTCTGCTACACTATCATTTTCACAACGTACTCCAGGTTGATTTGCGAGGCAGTCGTACCTCCGACGGTGGGATATGTCGAGGCCGCCAAGTTTCTGCGCCAGAATGGCTTGCTCCTTTTCTTCTCTCTCCTTCTGGGTCTTCAATCTCTCGGACTCTATCCAAACCTTGCCCGTTCGCGTTGAGTTTCGAGGGAGCGAAAGTTCTATATCAAAATCGGCGGCGGGTTTTGTGAACATTTTCGCCGGGCGGGTGGATCGTCCGGGACAAGCATCTCGCTAATATGTCCAAGGAGCGTGGATAGCATACTATACTGTGTTTTGAAGTGTACATGCAATCACAGACAGAACACCCGCTCAAGATAAAGCCACGGTCGTATTGTTGTCAGTCGAAAAGGTGACGGGGCACATTCGAGAGGGCGAAGGCAGCCTCGAGTAGGTTCACAGTTGTACCGGGTAGGTGAGACCTGAGAATTCCGTGCACCTACCACAAGTACAATGACATGCAGCAGCCTTGATACTATGGTATCAGCGAAGGACTCTCCTACCTCCACTTCACGCGCCTTGTCCAAAAATCCCATTCTGGCCATCGCGAGGCGCTCCATCTGTGATTGATTGTGCCGTCATCCGACATCGCGAGCACGCGTTAGGGGAACCGCACAACAGACTATAGCTCGTTTCCGGTATATATGACACCCACATGATGCAGTCCCAGGCAATGGTTTACTGGCCGTTGGGTTGAGGTCCTTGCATTTTGGCCAGAACGTAGTAAACAATTACAGCGGCCATTTTCGATGTGTAAACTGTAGTCTACAGCTGTACCCTACAACAGCAGCAAAATATTACTGTGCTCTGCAACGTTCAAGATCATAGCTAAGGCTCACGAGCGCATTCACAACGTGTAATAGGTAGGGTGGTAAAATGCATGTACGTTGTGTACATGCATGCAAACCAAACATGTTCGGCGAAATTTGTGCCAGGCAAGTACTTGTAGTGCCTAACGGAACAATCTTCGTCATCAAAATGTGCTGCTGTTGTAGCACACGACAAACCTGGAGCTCCCTCAGATCCATACCAGCTAATATCTCCTGCCTCGTCCGTCTCTTCTTCTTCTGCGCCTTAATCTTGCCTTCCTCCAAGCGGTTCTTGATTACGGCCGTCACCACATAGTTCGGAGTCACTGTCTTGAGGATTTCTTTCACTCCTGGGGGATGAGCCTTCGTGTTGCCACTTCCGGCTGACGGAGCAACAGGCGCCGCACCCGCCGCACCGCCTCCGGGAGGGCCGAAAGTCACCGGCATATTTACCGTTAATCTGCTGTTTGCGGCAGATTGTGCGACTTACCTCGCGTTGGGATGTATTTTCCTTGGAGACGGAGATATGTCGAGATGTATAGCCATCCGACGGTGTGGACTGCCACCGTGTCCCTCGTTGATTCGCCGTGAGGTCTTCCGCCACAGCGTGGTGGCCATCCACAGCAGCAGCTTGCGCAGCGGTTTCACTTTTGTCAATTGCGCCGCATTTTATTGCTCCGCACATCTCCGCACCTCTGGAGTCCACAGCAGCAACAAGAACACCAGAACAGAAAAATGAGTAAGGGGAGTCTCGCTCTCGTGGGTCCAGAAGGACACATCGCTCTGAGGACTCGGCGCAGGATCAACCAGGGAAGAACTAACCTTCTCTCTGGTGGCTACAACTGAATGTTCCACGGGTCAATAGCCTCTAATCCTTGTAGTGTCAAGTGGGAAAGCAGTTGCTTGACATTAGACTAGACTACAGTTGTTGTTTCGGAAACAACAGGGCCGTTAGACTAGTGGACGACCTTATTTTCCTGTCGATAGACAATGTAATGTAGCTTGACCTCAGAAAATGTTGGAAAGGTTAGAACTGGTGGCCAGAGAAGAAACGGCCGATCAACAGGCATGACGAGAGGTGTTTGCTTGGCAGGGGCATGCGCGGGTCGTAGCATGTCCCCCTCCCGCGCTTACTTCAAAACATGCTGTCGCGACTTAGAATTGAATCTGTTCATGACGTCGTATGTCCCCGTAGAAGAGACCCCGGTCGGGGCCCGGTCGGGGGACAATGTCCAAAAGTTTTTGAGAGAAGCCGGAGATCGTCAACTCTAAAATCAAGCAAAAAAACGAAGGTGCTGCCCTGCTGTACAGGGGTAACAAAAACTGGGGCCAAGAACCTGCCGAGAACCTGGGGCCAAACCGAATACAGGTTTGAGAATCTACGCTACAGAGACTAACGCGCCCCAGAGGGCTTGATAAAAAGCGCGTGTGTGTGCGATTTATTCACCAAAGCTAAAATAGTAACCTTCAACGAGTAGTGAGTTACACTTAACAAAATAAGTACAACCTCTTCAGATGTTCATGCCAGAATTCTACGGCAAAGATGTGAACCTGAGTGTGGAGGCCACCTTCATAAAGGTACATCTCTACCAACGTCTGTCGAGGACGGTACCCTCTTTTCACAATTGCGTCAGCCGTCGACGAAGGGATGTTGGGAGTGTCTGCTTTTGGCTGCAAAAGCCACGAGTTCAACACCCGCTGCTCATCAAATTTTCTTCCGGAATGCGGAAAAAGAAAATAGCGGTGGGTGGGTCACAGAAGGACGCACTGATTTTCGAACTCGAAACTTCTGATGGCGTGGCGAACGTAGCGAACCCGTGGAACACGCACAGAGGATTGTGAAGAAGGGGATCGCCCCGCCGCAGCCGGTCGAGTTCCGACTACCCTTAGACAACATACTTGCCTAAATCAACAAGAAGAAGTCTCGAAAAAAGGGGGGGGTAGTTGGAGACCACCTTCATAATGGTACAATCTCCCCATTACTCCCTCCCCTTTCTTACCCATCACCAAAAAATATCGACTTTGAGCAACTAAGAGTTTCCAAACGTGCATCATACGCCACTTGTATGTCAACGCGCTCAGCTGCAACACCAAACCAAGCGTTCCAAAATACTCAAGAGAACGGCACACGCGCACCCTTCAACCGGTAAGGGCGCATTATCAATGGACCACCGTGCACACAACGCCAATAGCGAGGGCATTTGGTCGGGAAAGACATTGTTCACTACGACAGACATTCACTCGGGCACCTACCTATTCACATCGCTAAGCGAGTTCCATCAAAACACCACTTGACACAACAGGACGGTGCCGCAGGTAGCACGTCGCGGCATCGGGAGAAACTCTAGCTCAACCCGCCAAGAAAGACGAAACCACAACACGATTGAAGCCACAACGCCCAAGCCGACCAACTCGAAAACCAAACCCGTTGCCAGCAACGCCAGCGCCAAATGATATCGGGAGGCCAGTGCAAACCTTGTCGACCCGCCGACTGGTGTGCCGCGCCACATGCACGACGGCGACAATCCGAAACCTGCCACACACCACACACGCAACATATTACAAGTAGGAACCGAAACCACGGCCACATTGAGCGCTTGGCTGGCTGTGTTTTCTTGGCACCAACAAGGCGCTCACCGCGGCCCCGGCAGTAGACCAGGGGGCTTCACGGTCTTAAGCAAGGGGTCGGGCGGTGAGCAACGCGTAAACACGAAAAAACAACTGCACCCTCCAAAGCACGCACACGAAGGCAGAAAAATGGGTATTGGAACGGACGCGCGCGCGCACAAACCGCCCGCGCACGTCGCGCAAAGCGAAAGAGCGGCAGAAAACAGACCTGTCGCAAACCACTGCTGCTTGCGCTCTCGCTACCACGGCAAGATGTCCACCACGCTGGGACGGCGCGCGTGGCTGGACTCAGAGGTCTCTGACTCCGGCGATGCCGTTCCGACGAGACCGCCTGGGGCAGCGACTGCGGCCCTTGCCTCAGCGGGCCCGCCCTGCCGGCCCCTGTCCCCTTTCGCCGCCGAGCCAGGGCCTCCATAATCCGATACGCGTGCCCCCCCCTCCTCCCGCTCGGTGTAATCGCCAGTCGAAGCGGAGCTCACGCCAGCAACCGCTGCGGAGAGGAACGCGACCGCGGACGAAAACGCCTCCACACAGGCGGCGGAGGCCGACCCCAGCACCCGCCGCCGTTGCGGATGCACCCGCATTTGCTCTTGCTCCAGCAGAAGCCGAAGCTGGGCCTGTTTCTCGAGCTTCCTGGCGGCAGCAGCTCGCTCCGTGGCGAGCGCCTCCACGAAATCGGCGATCCGGTCCACGGCTCGGGAAACGACATCCATTTGCTGGAGACGAAAAAAAAAGGGAGGGGGGGGGGGGGGTTAACGC